CCTGACTTGAGGGCCCCCACAGTCCTTGGGAAGGGCCAGGCCAGCATCTGAGCAGGAGGGACTACCTGAGTCTTACTGACATCTGGCATCTAAAGGAAGAACCCTTTAACACCTTAGTAACACTCCAGACAAATAGCCAAGGTACAACACACCAAGTTTTAGGATAAGCTCTAACCTTACAAGGATAAAACCTACTTTAAGAAAGCCTAAAGCGTAGCATCTGCATGGGAGACAGAGCTTGGAGATTGGTTCTCCCAAGTCAGTGAGGTTAGGATAACACCTTGAGCTTTCCACATTTCCAATCAGACAAAGCATAAAGCAAAGCCTATTCAAGTCCAAGGTGGAATCACAGTAGTTGATAGGCATTTAAAAGTTATGACAGGCAAAGAAACAAAAAATGTGGTCCATACATAAGAAGATAAGTAATCAATAGTAATCAACTCCAAAAGTATGGCTGTGATGTTGAATTGATCAAGAAAGGACATTAAAGCAGTTATTATCAATGCATTAAAAAAATTAAATAAGATGTGTTCTTAATGAGTTAACATTTAGATAAATGTCAAGAGAGAATTAGGAACCATAAAAATTGTAAATTTTAGAACTAGTGTAACTGAAATGAAAATTTCACTTGTTGTATGTAAGAGGAGATTGAAGATGGCAGAAGAGTCAGTGAACTTTAAAAGAAAATTAGTAGAAAATATCCAACCTGAGGAAGAAATAAACATAGAGTTCCTAAGTAAACTAGAAATTGCACTGTTGGACTTGTAGTCAACAGAAATGGATACATAAATCCACAAAAAGACTTGCATATGAGTCCTAATGGCAGCATCACTGAAAATCGATGAAAACTGGAAAGCCCAAACTGGAAAGCCACCTCAGGTAAATGAAGAAATAAATATTTGTATATTCATACAAACAATGCTACTCACATTAACAAGAAAATAGATCATCCATTGATACATCTGGCACCTAGATAAATTTTCAAAAACATGGTAAGCCAAGCTTAAAAGAGTACATACAATAGGATTCCATTTATATGAAGTCCTAGAATGGGCAAAACCAACAGTGATAGAAATATGATCTGTGGCCGCTGGGGAGGGATGGGTGGGAAAATGAACTGTAAGAAGCATGAGGTAAGTTTCTGAGGAGAGGAAATGTTGTCTTTACTGGGTGATGATTATGCAGGTATGAATACTGTTCAAAGTCATCACACTGTACACTCAAAACATGCATCTTATTGTGTGTTACAGCCATCATATGACTAGAAATTTTAGTTTAGTCAGATTTGGGGAATTTAGACAAAATACATTAAACTGCATCCAGATATATAAGTTTTGGCAAAATAGAGTTTAAAAATAAAATGAAGCACATATTTTGTTCATTATAAAGTTTTCTATAAAGTATTTATTATAATATTATCTTGCATATGATCATAACAATTATGGGATAATATTAGTATGCACTAGTATAATATATATAGTATAATACAGTATAAATTTCTTCATTTGAATGATTATCATTGTAAAATATTCTAATACAGCATCAATTTTCAAAGGTAGGAAAAAAGCAGATTCTGAAAGAAATTCATTTCTAAAACACAGTTACTAAGACTCACCACTATAAAATCTACAAAACTGATGCTAAATTAAATGTCATTAAATGTCATGCTTTAAAGTGTTGAGTTAATTATTTTGCATTCCATTTTTACTAAAAGAATGGTCTTGAGTGCCTTCTGAGAACTGGACCTCTGGGTATAACTGACTGACAACCTGATTTTTAACTGGCTTCTTGTCACCTTTTATTTGCTCAGTCCTGTGTTTTCCTTATTTCAGGGCTACAGGGTTGATTGAATGAGTTTTTAATTTTTTGAAATTGGGGTTAAGGTAATGCAAGAATCAAACACATATGTGATTTGCTGTGCTGTAAGTTTTCATTTCTTTGTATATAAAATTAGTATACACCATAGTTAATTGAGGCCTCTAAATATTTGATGAAAAAATGAATTGGTATGGATGGATAAGTGTAAAAACCTAATTTACACCTAAGAAAACTTCATCCGGTCAGGGGGTTCAAACTGAGAATAGTTTCCAAATCCAGGGCCCTTGGGGAACTCAAATGAGCCTCACCAGGCTGCCACACTTCCCTTAACAGACCATCCAGTGTCTACTGAGCTGCTACACTTCGCTTGGCCATGTGCTCAGCTCTGGGGACTGAAAGATAAATTAGACAATTTATCTGCCACCAAGAAGGACATACTCTTGGAACCCTGTCATTAAATTAATATGTTCTCTAGAAAGGCAGAAAAGTGATGGCATGAAAATGACCAGGAGAAGGAAGGCTCTGAAAATGGCATTTAGAGTCAAGCAATATGACTTTGTATAATTGTATAAGATGGTATATTTCTAAAATTATTGTTTGGAGAAATGTGATACTCGGGCATCTTGTGCTAGCTATGCCATGAAATGCTGTATGTGACCTTGGGAGCTAAGAGAGAGTCGTCTGTGGTGCGCCATATGTATAAAACAGGAGATAAGAGAGCTGAGGGAGGACAAAAAATAAATCCTGAACAGAAAGAAGCAGAGATAAGAGGTGGAAAGAAAATGCTGGTCCTCTGGAGGCCTGGCTATATTTAAACAGTCTAGCATCCTTCTGTAACTGAAAGAACAAAGTCACTCCCTCCAAAAGGGATAAGAGACAAGGACAGTTGAACAAGGACTAAGAACAGATGGTAGTTTCAAGTTTGGGGCCGTTTTTGGCAAAGGGAACAACCATTTCGAGATATGAGGTGGAGGAGTACCCATTGCACACATGTGGTAAGTCCTAGGGGGAAAGAGGGGTGCTAAATGAATATGGGTGCCAAATAAATATTTGTTAAATCAATGGGAGAAGAGTGTCCACAGGTGGCTGTAGGAATCTGAGTCCTCAAAAAATATGTGCAAAATTTGGAGTGGGTAATTTTGCTGTATTTCTCTGCAAAAGAAGATTCATAGCTTCTAGCAGATTTTTAAAATGGTCTAACAGGAAATGGCTAAGAATCATTGTTTCACAGCAACTGAAGTTGCTAACATACTAACCATTTTATAAAGGTAAAGGGATGATGTTGATGAAACGTCCTTTAAGGCAGGTACGAATATGGAAGTTGAGAAACATCTAGAAGAATGAGAGCCAGGAATCTTGAGGAAGGAAGGCCAAGCCATGAGAAAGGTGACCAACGTCCCTCAGGTGTCAGGACAGAGACAGACATTGCAGAGTTTGACCTTGTGGAACCTTAGGGTGGAAAAAGGGGAGAAACTAAGTGTTTTTGTTTCTTTAATAGTATCAAATGAAGCAGGTATGAGATAGGTGCATGTACTGAATATAAATTACTTAACTGGTGAATTGTAAGCTATTATTTAAAAAAGCTGAAGCAGCTGCACATCCCTGTGATAATGGGAGATGAATAACCTTGTATTTATTAAAGAACAAAAGTAACCATACCCACAAAAAATCCACACACTATATTTTCAAAAGGGGATTCAAAAATAGTCATCAAAATGGCCTCTCTCTGTTTGAGAATTTATGTTCACCACTCAATGGATAATTAATCCTCACAATCAGCTCATTATATGTTTTGCAAAGAATATAGCATGATTTTTTAGAGCAAAAATAATCCTATAAAAAAGAAATGACTCATTTTCATATGGTCTTTAAACAACTCTTTGAAAACTTAAACATTTTTGACAAGAAAGAGAGAAAGGAAAGGAAGGAGGGAAGGAGGGAAGGAAAGGAGGGAAGGAGGGAGAGAGGGAGGAGAAAAAGAAAGAAAGAAATTCCTGCAGCTCTTGGTACTGAAAGAAGTAAGAAGCCTGTGCATTTCACAATCCTAGCAAAGGCTGTAGGTCTTCGTGTCCAAGAGAAGTGAAGTGAGCACAATGGAAGTCAAAGGGTTTGGCACTGCTCCTGTTTGCTTCTTCTAGAACTCTTGTTGATCTCCCTTTTATCTATCCGGGCTCTGTCTACAATTTCACTTAGGAAAAAAGGGTCCATTTCACCCATAAGTCTTAATATCTTTGGAGTGGGATGGGTCAGATGCTAATTCTAGGATTAGACGCTTCCATGCAGGGCGTCCTACAAGCCCGCAAAACCAAGGGCTTCCACTTTCTCCTGCTTATCACCCTAGCTCTGGTGCCTGCCTGCCAGGTCTTTCCTCCGTATTTCTTATATCTCGAATGACCTCGGTCTGCCCTCTCAGATGACAGTCTCTCATGGGTAATCGCCACTCCTCTGTTAAGACTGAGTTGTTTTGGGTCTGTTTTGTTTTGTGTTGAAGTATAGTTAACATGCAATGTTATATGCATTTCAGGTGTACAGCAAAGTGATTTAGCAATTCTTCGCATTCCCCAGTGTTCACCAGGATAAGTCACCAAACAATGTTATTACAATATTATTGACTATATTCCCCATGCTGTACTTTTCATTCTCCATGACTTATTTATTTTATGACTGGCAGTTTGTACTTCTTAATCTCCTTTCTTTATTTCACCCATCCTGCCGGCTCCCTCCCCTCTGGCAACAATTAGTTTGTTCTCTGTTTTTTTTTTTTAATTCTTTATTGTTATGTTAATCACATACATTGCATTATTAGTTTTCCATGTAGTGTTTCATGATTCATTGTTTGTGCATAACACCCAGTGCTCCATGCAGAGCGTGCCCTCTTTAATACCCATCACCAGGCTAACCCATCCCCCCACCCCATCCCCTCTAGAACCCTCAGTTTGTTTTTCAGAGTCCATTGTCTCTCATGGTTCGTCTCCCCCTCCAATTTCCCCCCTTCATTCTTCCCCCACTGCTATCTTTTTCTTTTTTTTTAACATATATTGTATTATTTGTTTCAGATCTGTGATTCAACAGTCTTGCACAAATCACAGCACTCATCATAGCACACACCCCAATGTCTATCACCCAGCCACCCCATCACTCCCACCCCCTACCACTCCAGCAACCCTCAGTTTGTTTCCTGAGTTAAGAATTCCTCATATCAGTGAGGTCATATGATACATGTCTTTCTCTGATTGACTTATTTCGCTCAGCGTAATACCCTCCAGTTCCATCCATGTCATTGCAAATGGCAAGATCTCATTCCTTTTGATGGCTGCATAATACTCCATTGTATATATATACCACTTCTTTTTTATCCATTCATCTGTCGATGGACATCTTGGCTCTTTCCACAGTTTGGCTATTGTAGACATTGCTGCTATTAACATCAGGGTGCACGTACCCCTTCAGATCCCTACATTTCTATCTTTGGGGTAAATACCCAGTAGTGCCATTGCTGGATCGTATGGTAGGTCTATTTTCAACTTTTTGAGGAACCTCCATACTGTTTTCCAGAGTAGCTGCACCAGCTTGCATTCCCACCAACAGTGTAGGAGGGTTGCCCTTTCTCTGCATAATAAAAGGCATCCAAATCGGCAAAGAAGAAGTTTGTTCTCTGTTTAAGAGTGGTTTGCCAGTTTGTATGCTCAACATCACTCATCATCAGGGAAATGCAAATCAAAACCACAATGAGATATCACCTCACACCTGTCAGAATGGGTCACATCGAAAAGACAAGAAATAATAAGTGTTGGTGAGGATATGGAGAAAAAGGAACCCTGGCGCACTGTTGATGGAAAGGTAAATTGATGCAGTCGCTGTGGAAAACAATATGGAGGACGGAACTTTGACACCACCTTCCTGAAGGAATACGTCCTGATTTCCTAGATCCCACTGCTCCACATGTGACATGACAGGGTTATGTGGCTTGTGAGTCCCCCACATCCCAGGCCCTGAGCTCCTTGAGGAGAATCCAAAGTATCTCACCAATCTTACTGAAATGAACTGAAAGCGGACTAAAACAATGTCCCAATGTGGCTTTCTTGTGACAGACCAGGTATTCCTCATGGCAAAACTGTTGGTGATTCAAGAGGAAAGTTGTAGCATGGTTTCCACATGTTGTTCTGGCTTTTTAAAGCTACCTAAAAGATCCAGTGTGAAGGTACAAGGAAAATCAGATTTTACTCCTGGGTGGTAAACTGACACAAGCCTTCAAAATTAAGTGAAGTGAAGAAAAATCATTAGCTTTGTACACCTGATGACACATAAAGATGAGGGGATATATTCTGGAATATGAAGATATTATGTGTGAGTTAAAACTATTAATTAAAGAGCACCTTCTGAATTATCATTTTATTATATCACATAGTCATTATATATATGATTTTAGATCTAGAAGGACCTCAAGGACTTTTTTTTTTTTTTAAGATTTTATTTATTTATTTGACAGAGAGAGACAGCTAGAGAGGGAACACAAGCAGGGGGAGTGGGAGAGGGAGAAGCAGGCTTCCCGCCGAGCAGGGACCCCGATGCGGGGCTCGATCCCAGGACCTGGGATCATGACCTAAGCCAAAGGCAGACGCTGCACGACTGAGCCACCCAGGCGCCCCGGACCTCAAGGACTTTTTAGTGAAACAGCCTCACTTCACAGTTGAGAGAACAAAAACTAATCTAAAGTCGTCCAAGAGTGCACAACTCAATTTGTCCAGAGAGAAGGAACCTGGGCCTCCTGACACCACCTCTCCATCCCCCCCATTACCTACAGCATGTATCAGCTATTTTAAACAACCTCTTCTTCCCTAAGAATCCTCACTTTCTGGCCCACAGAGATGACAGTTAATGACCCTGGGGTTAGGGGCTCCTGTCCAAGTTGCAGCTGCAGTCTGTTGAGCTGCCGGCAGGGAGTCGGCGGAGTTTACCAACTTGCTTTTATCACAGTCATACTTGTGATTTGGATTACGTAATTTAATTAAATGTTACATAAAATAATGAGGCCTTTGTGTAAAAAAGGAGACTACTTATTCCTGTGAAAACCAAATTCAGTGTTTTGGGAAAGGTTGTCAAAAGGAAAGTCAAACATCAATGCCAATTAGTTGCATGTTACGTAACTATAACTACGGGGGAATGACAGAAACACGTACAAGGAATGTGCATTCATACCATCACTTCCCTGGAAAATTCCTATTCCCCTTTCAGAACAATCTTATACACACACAAAAGATTCAGCCTGGGCATAAGCTTATGAATTCTAGTCAGCAGGTCTGTATCAAAGCAGCAATGACAAAACCAGAACACAGACTTTGCAACCCACCCCCACTTGCTGCCCCAAAGCTCAAGTTACAGGACTTTATGTGCGCTCAAATGTGTGAAGTTAAAATACCTAAGACGTGCATATGCATTATTTTTATGATTCTCTGCTTTAGCCAATTCTTAAGCTGTCCTAATTATCTAAAATATGGAGTTTTTAATGTTCCAGGGCAGTATTTATTTTGTTGATTTAATGATATGCTCTACTTGTTTCCAGTTTTGACTGGAGTGGTTTAGAAACAAACTTAAAACCACACTTGCAAAATAACACAGAAAGGAGAAGAAGTAACAAGTAACAGGAGAGGGTAAAGAAATAACTGTATAAATCGTCATATTTAAAGCCATGCCACCCTCCTTGGTGAAATCAGCTCCTGACAAACTGCAGTCTACAGATATGAAGATGGAGACTGTAAACACAACTCCAACTTATCTATTTTGTGCTCACGGTTGAATGAATCACCTGGCAGCCTAACAGGAAAGTAGGGTAGCTCGGCTTCCTGGCCTCCCCACACCCACTCATGCTGGTCAGTCCTGCTGTCCTCATGCAGAGGCCACGCACCAGGCTGCACAAAGTTCCCGCAGTTCAAAAATTCCCCAAAGCAAGGATAAAGACTCCTTGTTGCGGTTTCAGAAGACACAGTGTTAACATTCCAAATGCCTGAAAGGAGCACACAGAAAGCCAGGCATGTGAACACGCAATGTGCAGTGTATGGGCCACTATCCATCCCAGAGGCCAGTCACGCCTCGCACTGGCCACTGGGAGGACGTGTCCTGCAGCGGACAGTCCGCATCCATGTTCCAGCCTAATGCTGTGTGTGGCGATGACAAGCAGCCTGCTGCATCGCACATGAGAGCCAGAGGACTCAGGAGGAGTTTTTGTGATGGGAACATTTTAAAAGAACACATTTCTGCTACTCTGTAATTGGTGGGAATTTACAAATTAGCTGCAAATTGAGAAGTGGGACCCCAACGAACTGCAAAGCAAGACTTGCCTCCAGGTTTATTCAATGTAGACAATGTGCTTACAGGAAACATTTAAAATAATGATAGTGTTGCACAGACTGCTAAAAGCCTATCTACACTGTCTTGCTTCACCTGGAGTATTCCTGAAACCATGGAATTCCTTGCTGCTAGCTTCTCCTTTTCCCAGGACATCTTGTGCAGGTTAGCATTTCACAGGGAAGTCTCTCCTAGAGTCACTCTCCTGCTTTAAACACAGGATGAAGATCAAACTCCCTTGCATGGCATGCAGGGCCCTTTAAAAGCTTCCCCTTGTCACATTTCTACCCCCTCATGCCATGCAGCCCCACACCTTCCTGCTTCCTTCCCTCTCCTTGGGATACTGCCTGCTGTTCCCACTTCATTCAACTATCACACTCAGAAAATTCCAAGAGCAGATCAAACGGCATCTTTTAGCAGTAGTTTGCTGTGACTCTTACACGTACCTCCCATTTCTCAGCTCTGTGTTCCCATAACATTCAATTCCCATCTCTGTAACAGCCCATTCCGCACAGATTACTGCCAGCCCCCTGCCATCCCAGCATGCTGTCTGGATCTCCAGAATGCTATTTCCTTCATCTCGGGTCTCAGTGCCTAGCACAAGGCTGATTCAGAGCATACGTGCAATCTAATAATGATGCTGACAACTGAAACGATAATGTTATAATAAATCTATCCACAGATAACACTTACTGATTACCTATGATGCACCAGAATGGAACTAGGTATTTGATACATTCTATATAATTTCACCTTTGAACATCTCTGTGAAGGAGGCAGTGTTTTTTTCATTTTATAGATATTCTGAGATTTAAAACTGTTTAAATACTTTTCACAAGCTCTCAGTACTAATAGGTGGTGGAATGGAGATTTAAACCAGGTCTCTATGAAGCCAAAGTCAATGTTCTTGCAAATTCAATCTGCATGATACTCTGATTTGTTCTACATATATTATACATTTACTTAGTCTAATATTCTACATAAGTATGAAGCAAATTCTAGTGGCATAAAAACATTCATACCCTTAGTATTACAAAATAAAGGCCTCATGTTGACAATTAGCTCCATAATTTGCAATTTTAAGCTTCTCTGAAAGATTGCACATTAATATACCATAAGCTATTAGTAAACATGTTAGTCTTCAATATTTAGCCAACTATAGACAAAACTTCTTAATAAAACATTTCTTTAATTATTTTTAACTATTTTGGAGGATGAAGGGTGGTGAGCATGAAGAGCAGTTATAGTTGTTTCCTGGAAACATCCCATACCTGTAAGTTAAAAGGAAATTTGAATCTCACCTGTAAAGAACATAATATTAATACTTTACTGAAAGGCACTAATGATGTAGTGAATAAGCCTCGACTCAACATTCTGATGATAAATTTAGAATTATTTGTTCTTTTGACAAAAACTAATTTCTGTTTTCATTTCACTACTTTGCTCTGCCTAAAAAAGCCAACTTGTGACATTATCATATCAATAAAAAGGCCTTGATTGGATTACCACACAGCAGGAATGCAGGAAACATGCCAACCTCTCTTAGTTGAGATGTGCTAGCAAGTATTAGCAAGGAGGCAGCAATATTTACATTTACAAAGGAAGTGGGTGGACAAAGGCGTTTACTGCTTAGTCTCTAGAAATCCTTCCTTTAATATTTGGCTTCTCCCAAGATAACAATTATTAAAGGCTCTGCAATAACATCCCCAGGCAACCAAATCCAATCACACTGTAACACTTCTCCCTCTCCCAAGAAATATATAAATCTAAGCAACACTTGCACACTTACTTTTTCAGTTTTTGTCGAATCTCTGAATCTTTAATCTCGTTTTGAAGATCCTCAAAATTTTCAACAGAAGTCAGATTGCAGAAAACTCTGAAGTCAGCATAGGGAGGGATCCCGTGGTCTCGCCCCCTTTGAATGTTGGTGGCAGCCAAATCCAGGGCCACAGAGTGGGCGGTGGAGAACAGCTTCTCAGTCAGCTCTAAACTGAGCAGTTGGGAGGGCATCCGCAATTTAGCGGCCACACCAAATAGCCCCCGAAGGAGTGGATCTATCCCACCTTCCTCGATTATTCTGGAGGGTGAAAAGAAAGCTTTATGGAGTGGAAGGTGGCCTTCAGGGATTTCTCCAAAGGTGTCATTCAGTCGGTAAAGAATAGGATTGATTAACGTGTGACCAAATCTGAAGGCTGCAGTAGCAAAAGAGTTAAGGATCCCTGCATTCACATTGGGGTTGTAGCCCTGGTAATCCCGCAGCATCTTCATGCCAGATTCCCCCAGAATCTTGGGCAGCCAGTGGCTGTAGGTGATGTGCTGCAGCTGAGCACCCACAATCTTCCTGGCTTCATGATAAAGGGTGTCTCCATCCCAGTGGGGGTTCAGGGCAGACAGCTCCATGGCGACCCTGTTGTGTTCCCGAAACCACAAGGTGTGCATGGCTGTGAGGGCCAGCTGTTCATTGGCCCTGTGGTCCCCAGCCAGGAAACAGGGGCTGCGGCTACCCTGCTCCCACCCTGTGCACTCAGTGGGTGGGCCCGCAGAAAAGGGCAGTAAGGGCTTTCCGGATGGCACCCACGGCAAGCCTGTCCTCAGCAGTCCCCGAGGCTCTGAGTAGTCTCGGAGAACTTGGGATTCCCTCTCCGAGCTCCCATAGACATTAGAGGCATCTATATAGGCTGTGAGTTGGTTAATCTGTTCTCTCGCGTAGACTGAATTCATCACCAAGGAGGTCATGCCACTGCCACACACGGGGCTGGAGCGTGCAAAGAACATGCACGGTGCTCGGGTCCCTCGGGGGTCAGTGTCAGGAATGATGATGGGGAAGCAAGGAGGATCATTGGTACACACCGAGCTACACGGCCGCCCATCAGAGAAGCGAGACGTGCTCAATGCAGGCACTGTGTGGTCCAGATCGTGGTCTAAAAATTGGCCCCACTGCATGAGCATGTGTGTGTATCTATGGTCAGGGGTGACTGTGGCCGTGGCTGCCAGCTCTGTGGAGACCAGCCTGGGTGGTGGGAGGGGATACCGGCCTGACAGGGCCTGACGGCTGACCCCACGCGGCAGGTTGAAGCCGTTCTCGTAGGCAGGCTTCAGGATGCGCTCAAAGGCGGTCAGGGATGCACCCCACATGGGGTGCTGCAGGTTGTTGCACGTTCCGTCCTGGGCTCGGTACTTCTGATGGAAACACATGTCAGAGCAGTTGGGCACCTGCCTGTGGGCTGTACATCCAGATATATTGGCTATGAGGCTGAGGTAGTGCGGGGACACCAAGTCATTGTAGCGGAACTCTGAAACACGGAACAGCAAGGGCAATGAAGAGAGCTGTCCTTGAGGTGGAGTGAGAGGGGGAACCTCAAGCCCAGGTGCCGTAAGGATGGGCCACTCTAGGCGGGCAGAAATCTTTCCTACATCCACCACATTTCATTAGGACAAAACCAAAAGTTTTAATTAAAAGGGGGGTTACTTAGTGATGCTTCTCTTATGAGCAATGACTGCTAGAACGAACAGAAAAGGAGAGAAATGTCCCAGTTTCCACCAAACTCCTAATTCTGTGACTTTACCAATATAATGTTGGTAAGGATTTGGTAAGTCCTCATCACAAGATTGTAATATTTTTTTTTCCCATTTCAGAATTCTTTCTTTCAGGTTTTATGCTCCTAGAAGACAGGGTCTAAAATGTGCTAGTGTGGTGGTGTGAATATTAACCTGCGTGATAGTTGATATGAACGGATTAAGCAGTTACTTGTAAACTACCACAAGCTGTCATCCCCCAGGGAATGTGCAATACAACCTGGAGGTGTTTGGGAGCCACTGTTTTAACAGAGCTTAAAATTGCAGCATAGTCCTAAATCTGCAGAAACTATTCACTAAGTCTTGCTGGTAAGAGTTATCATCCCCACTTAATCATCAGAAACTGGCTAATGATACCAGGACCATTTGTCCTTTATCTGTGTAAGCTGGTCTCTGTCTGGCTGGACACTGAGAGATCTTAATCTTGCATAAATACAATAATCTTTCTGTATATAAAGACATAGATCCTGGGTTCACTTTTAGGGCAAAATGATCCTGGAGGGAAAAAAAATAAATAAAGTCCTTTAGCTTTACAAATAATAAAAGAGAGGTAGAACAACATAATGTTTTTTTCTTGAGAAAATTGTGTTAAAGTTCTTGAATATTTTAGATGAGAATGTATACTCAGTTTGGTAATGAACACCAAAAACAATGGATGTATATTTTAGCAAAGTTAAATCTCTGTAGATATTGATTGCTTATTCTCTAGTTATGAATTTAGATTAAGTTATTATTGAAAATTGTTTCTTCCAATAGATATGTGTGAGAAGAGAACTCAAAGGCCCTTTGTCCTGACCTGGAGCTGGGCTTTTTGCAGACCTGACCACAGCTAACTCATCCCTGGTAAGACTCAGAATTAAACAGCCAGAAATTTGATTCAAGCGCTAATATGGACTATATGGAAATTTCACTTGGATATTTTAGTTAAGGAAACTCCAAAACCCAAGACATAATGGATCATTAGGAGCTATTAAATAGAGCTTTTTGAGTAATTGTATAGGGCACCTAATGGGTGAGCCACACACAGAAAGGGGCTTGTGCACTGTATCTTGGTTTCTTTTCTTTTTTGGGGGGGGGGGGTTATTTTCTGAAGGGGAGTAAAGAAAGGGTAAACCTCTAGAAGTTGCTGTTGTGCTCACAGAACAAATAGTGTATAGCAAAGGATCATATTTTTACTTCACTTTAAAGAGAAAGACTTAGAAAATCTGAAAGATTTCTAAATCATTCTCATTTGACATTTACTAAATAAATGTCTGGTTTTGGGAAAAGTACATGAGAACTTCAGTATAGCAACAACAACAAAAATGATTTGGGAGGGATACATACGTTATAGGTAGAGCAAGGAATTCAAATAAATTCACTGAATGGTTTAGGTGATTCCAATAACAAGGAGAGGAACATTACCCTAGGACTAAAGCCTTTTTCATAGGAAAGAGTAATATCTTTTGGATTCAAAACGTCCACCTAAAATGGGCCCCCTAGATTTACTTGACGTAGATAGCTGCTAGAAGTTGACAAGTTTGAATATATATTTATCATCCTTTCTTTTGAATTATACTTCTTACGAGAAACATCTGCATTCATTTGGTAAAATGGTAAATTAATTTCTATATCACATGGTGATTTGGAGATTAAAAACTGAAGGGTGATCAGTTTTGCTACTGACAGTAGGCTGAGAACAGAATGCACCCCAGAAGCTGACCTCTGCCCTCCAAATCAACAGTGAGCCCCTGCTTCACGTGTTCCTGGATCAGCAGAAATGTGTGCTCAAAAATCTCTCCAGCTCTTGCTGTCTCTACAGTAAACGGGTCATACGGATAATGAAACTGAGCCAGCAGATCACTAGGGGTGCGAGGTTTCCTGCAAATGACAAAAGACATTACTGTTCACAAGGCAAAACTGCAGAATCCATGAATCTCACTGTGCATTTACGAATACATTTCCCAAACAATCAAGAAGAAAAGCTTCACCACCAGAAAATAAGCTTCACAGGGGGAGCTGAGAGTTCTTTTCCTACTTTATTAATGAGTGAAACCCAAATGCCAGTGACAGTGCTGAACTCAAAAGATATATTTTTAATGAATCAATGATTTAAAGAACAGTTTTCTATAAAAGGCAACATTTATGGTGAAAGTTATAAGCTTGTGGGGTCCACACATAGGTCTGAGGGGGCTCAGTAAACCCTCTGAAACAGTATGCAAGACACTCAGTTTCTGGACATTGGCACTGTCTGTATTCTCTTTCCTCAAATGTAACTGCCTGGAAGATGCTGGAAATTCCCACTCACGTTTAAAACCCTGCTCAGGCATTGTTCTCCCCAAAAAGTCTCCCTGGTAACTCTGACAAACTACCACCTTCTCAATTACGTCTGTATGCTCACATACATCTATTACATACACAACAAGATGTACTTAAATTGTTGACATATTGTCTCTTCTGCTACAAAAAGACTGTCAGGGATGAGATGGTGCCTTATACATCTTTATATTCTATGTACCAAGCCTAGCAACCAGCATATGCATTGAGGAATTAAACTAATTAAGTTAAAAGAATATTAGTCACTGAGAATGTGAAACTATTTTAGAGATTTTGGTCAGCGAAGGCGTGTCTGGTCCTCTACATCAGAAATCGTAATAACTTTAGATCATAGAATAGTAATGATATTAATAGCTCACTTTAATTAAGCCCTTTCTATGTGGCAGACACTGTTGAGACACTATCTGTATTAACTTATTCAATCTTCCTAACAAGTATGTCCATGAAACAGATTCTATTGCTATCTCCATTTTACAGGCAAGAAGTGTGAGGTACTAAGATGCTTAGTTACTTGCCCAAGGTCACCCAGATAGGAAGTGATGAAGTGAGGAATCACTATAAGGATATAAATAAGCTATATGTCTCTAGAACACAAGTCCATGATCAGCGAGCCATGCTGTTGTGGGTATGCAAGAACAGAGCTATACTTGATTATGGCATTATAAGATATTCCTTTTAGACCAACAGCTGCAAAGACTGGGTGTATACTTCATTTGACTTTAAAGACAACAGTCATGTTTTCATTAATATGTTCAGGTGATGCAAAACTGCATCCTTTGTACCTCCATCAGGACTGATGGGGACTTTATAGAACCTGAAGGCTTCACTACTCTAAAGATGTTCTGGTTCAAATTAAAATAACCAAAGTACTACATATCCTAAACAAAACTTTCATCTGTGAGCTACCAGTTTATGACCAGATGTGTTCAACTTGACAATCACTCTCAATTCCTGGATTGGCAGGAGCACTGGGTCTGACCCTGGTGGATGCTGACCTAACAGAGCCCATTACCTGATACCTATCATGGGACCACATAGAGTGGATCTGTGATGTAAACTTATGCCATTTAGATTCTGTGGGGAGCAAGTTTCATTTTCTTTAAGACTGAGCTGGCAATGGTGGGTAGCCCAGAGGGTGATAACACACACACAGACTGAAGAAAACACCCGCTTTTGGCAATCTTATGCACGATGCCTGCTGTGATTTATGGAGATTATAAAAACCAAGTAGGACTGAAGTGAAAACAATTTTGTAATCAAAATGAAATAAATTCTTACTGTGAAAACAAATGTCTTCGTGTGGAGTTAATTGCACTGTCAACCCTCTGTACAGCACCAAGAATGGATGATTCAACAAAGTCATCGCCAGCTTGTCTACCCTGTATGGCTTTGAAAATCAATTCCATGATTAAAAGTATCAAACAGACTTTGAAGTTAGGAATGATCTCATACAAATGACATTACAGAAACTTCCAAGACAATAAAAATGCTATACAGTGTCCACATGATACTGTCCATTGCAGAAGAGTAGGTAATTATCCTGAAGCAAAGTTTCCAGAAACAATAACAGTATTATTTAGGGAACTAAGGCATTCCAAAAATCTAGTAAAGCTATGTGAAATATTTCCTTTTTTTTACAACATTGATTCAAATGGGATTGAACTCTGTTAGTAATTTGTCATCTTCAGAAAGGTAAGAAATGCCTATCTTTTCAGCCACCTTGCTTTAATGTGAAACATTAAAATGAAGTAAATATCATCACATCCTTATGGAGATTTCTTAAAGCAAGAATTGAACTCTCAGTAAGATTTCAGTGAAAAATAACTCATGTTTTTTCTATAGCTCTTCGGTGTGTGAGAATTCTATCAAGTTGAATATTATAGACAAAGAAAGCTTTTCACTTAAAGTAGAGTCGATAATCTTCAACATATTTAATCTTCTCCAGATGATGGTTTAAGAAGTTTAAGGTAAAGAAAACAAAATGCTAATAAAAATGATCATGGATATTAAAAACTCACATAAGAAAAATAATTGAGCATATCCATATTATTTAGTTCATTTTTAAGAATATTAAAAGTATAAGAATTTATATGACATAATTAAAGCAATAACTTAATCTTAGCACTGTTGAATATTGGACACAAGAGTAAGTATAGTCCCAAAAATTGAATTTGAAAATAATGTCATTAAGGAGATATTTAAAAAATGAGAAGTTTAAATAAAAATAGGAAGGTGTGTGGATTACATATTATCACTTATATTATATATCATATATTATGTAATACAATATAATATTAAAATATTATATATGTATATTTATGTGTAAATAAGTATATATATGTTTATGTATTTTGCAAGATGAATGCAAATAGCATTCTACATCTGGTTGTTATAAAAAAAATTTCTCTATATTATGACAATGTATACATACTAGATTGGTTCATTGTTCTAAAAAGATCACCAACATAAAAAATTTCAAGAAAAAATACCAGTAATACAGATATAAGAAAACCAGTAAAATCAAGGTCTCTGCCGAAAGACATTCTTGATAAACTAGATTATAGGCAGTAGTTATGAGTTAGAGGCTATACTGTCAATTCATTTCAGTCCTTATCATGACCACAATATTAAAGCTCCAGAAGGTCAGTTTTACCTTTTATACTTCAAAAATCACATTGGATTAACTATATAATAGCTAAAGATAATTGAAAGAAAACAAAGATAAATTGATTAATTTGATTACATTAAATTAATAATTTCCATTCAAGGAAAGACATAAATAAAAAAGGTAAAAATGTCGTTGACAAATAACATAATAGGTAACATATCTATAATTTCTAATCTGACACAGAATTAATATTCTATTTCATTCAAGGAATTCCTGTAATGCATTAAGACAAAATATATACAAGCAAGTTATAAAAGAGGAAACCCCAAAAGTTATTAAGTATATGACAGATTTTGAAAACCACTTAAAACCTCAGAAATAAAATATAAAATATCAATGAACTACCATTTTATGCTTATTCTGGCAAGAAGAAAAAAGCTGATTACTGCCAAGTTTTGGCAGGGGTGAGTGGACACGGGTAGGCCAGTGGGAATGTAGAAGTGATGCTCCTATTTCCAAGATTTTGTTTAAGGATATGTATATTTTTTATTTTGATTTTACTTAGTAAAATGACATATGTGCACATCCCCTCACCCAGCAATCTGATTCCCACATATATATCTAGAGAAATTCTCATGCAAATCCATCAGGGGTATAAATGAGAATGTTCATTGCAACTCTGTATGGAAGGAATTAAGGAAAATTGTCAGCAATGGAAGTGTAGGTGAGAAAAATGTGGTGGATGTACAGTATGAAATATCAGGCAGCAGTTAGAATTGGCTGGATGGACACATGCATGGATGCTAAAAAGAGTGCTTAATGTAAAAATTAGAAAGCTGAAAGAGAATCATAAAATGATTTAATTAAATATATAGTAAATGCACTATAGTTACATAACATAGTGAGCAAGATGGGAGTGGGGTATTGGCTTATAAGGGGATGGATTGATTAATCAACAAATCAAGCAGTCAATATAATTGCAATGATTATGAGCAAACCTAATATTTTCAATATACCTAACATGACATACCCTGTGATAGTTCAAAAACAAGTCAGTAAGAATGAGCCTACTGAATTTGGATATAAAGGAACCGAGATCAATCTAATCAATCTGTGCTGGCTTATAGGTTCACAAGATGTTAACCTTTTCTCTATTGTTCCCCTTTTAGTCCTTCACTTGTGAACTTCAAGTGTAGAGCGTGGCATCAATGATGTGTTCTTATTCATGACAATTACTGTTATTGGACCCCTGCACCTGTGTGCATAATATGCGATCAGAGGTCTATCAAAGGTTGTTTGTAGGACTGAGTTATCACACAGCAGACAATGCCAGCCAAAACTCAGAAGGCTGTTCACTGTGGCAGACAGAACTTGGAAGGGATATTTACATTTGGGGAAAGCATCAATTAACATGTTCATCTAAATTTTATTTGTTTGATAGTTTTGCTTTTATTCTGTTTATAAAATAGTTTTGATATTATGGTTGTATAAAATTTACAAGCATAAGGAATTTTACACCTATTCTTCATCTTTTGACTCATTCATAAAGTGGAAATAGTAAGACTTGTTCAACATAGAGTTGAGGCAATATATAGTTGGGCCAAATATGATTATTAAATAAAAAAGGCATGCAAAGTTCTTTGAAAACAACATGTCACAATGCAAATATAAGGTGCCTTTCAGTGATTATTATGTTCTAAGCCCCTAAGTAATCCATATCCTCACATACTTATTGGTTGCCACTCTGTTGTCCTGTCATTTGTTCAACTTGAGCTGTTTTTTCTCTTTGTTATTAAGAAACTAACAAGTGTGGAGATGTGAAAAGGAAAGGAAAATAACAAGAAAGGTGGCATAATATGTAAACATTGTTTGAAATAATTAAATTTTGATGTGCACAAAGAGAAAACACATAAAAGTTGTTCACAGATTATTAAAAGTGCATTAAATATGTAGTATGTTCACACAGAAAATATTTGTGGTAACAAGAACTCTTTCTCACTTATGTCATTTCAATTATGAATTTTTTAAGGTTCATAGTTTTATGATAAAATAAAGCTAACCTTTTTATTATTCATTCAGTCTTAGTAATGTTTTAGTTGGTGTGGTACAAATTGCAAAAAGATTTCCACAAATGTTTCTAGAAGAGCACTGTATTATGCAAAGCAAATTCAGTTTATTGGGGCACATTAGAATCAAACAACACTGTTAATATTTTATTTGTCTTAAAAACTACCTCAATAATGTAGGGATAGAATGATCCTGAGTATATTCTCCATTTTTTATGCAAAATTTTGCAGAAGGGGAGGGAGAACTAGATCATTTTCTTTTGTTAAGTCTTGGGGTTAAAAAAAAAAAGGAGAAAAAGCCTCAGTAGGGTTATGAAATTAAGCATGTTTAAAGTTGACTGATGAACATCACCTTTCAGTTCTGTCTATGTATCTATAAGATCTACCACCCGCAAGGAAGATAAAGTCAAAAGATAAATTTGAGTCCTTTCAGGAAGGTGTTGCTTAGGTGTAATGGTCCACCAACTGCTGTGTGCCCACTCGGTCAGAGTACAACCCAGATGGGGGAGAATAGGAGTCAGGGAGGAGTAGGATGGAGCCCCAAAAGAGACATTGATGCAGAACACCTGAACCCCTGCCATCACTTCTCACCACAAAATACCTAGACCTCAATAAAAACCGAGTTTCTTTCACAACTGAGTATTCTTTATCTCCCCCTCCCTCCTTGAGAAAAGTAACCAGATAATGTCACTGTCATTAACTGAACAGGCCTTACCACATGAAATCTTCCCCTAAGAGAATGACCGACCACCACTGACACCGCCCAAGAGGGCTGCCCTAGGAAACCGGACACTCCCACAGCATACAAATGGGAATTAACGACTGCCTTTGTGAGATAATTTTCTTTGAACAGCAACCACTCTGCCTTACTCATCAGTTTGCATCATTAGGTATGTAAATGGGTTCACTGTCTTGCAAGCTCCACCGTTTTTTTTCCGGAGACTGAAAAGGTGAGACGCTACTTTTTTTTTTGGCTTTAATCATTGAGATAAGCCTTTTATTTTGATTATTTGCTTTCCTTATAGTTTCATGACTAACCAAACACTACTGTACTAAAAATCTGTTCTTAAAGTTTAATGCTAATTTTTTTGAAACACGGATATCTCAGGCTTATCTCAGGATAGACATATGTGTTCAGTATAGATTTTATGTATAAATGGATGGGAAATGTATTCAATATGGTTAAAGGTATTATAAACATATGTATATGTATATTAGGTATATGCTGTTGTTTATAGAAATATTTCACCATTCATTGTATTTAAGTTTGCCGAGGTAAACAAGGTTGTCATGTATCTATTAATTCCTATGTAAATTAATTTATATCATATTCACAGTAAATAAACAAATATAGTAAAATAGCAATTGAAAATGATTCAGTATAATTTCATTTCATTGACATATTTGAGTAAACACAATTAAAATTTTCTAATACTTCATAGTTCACTCATTGGGCAACAACTGCAGTGGTGTTTGTCTAGACAATGACAACTGGATTAGAATGTCAAAAAATCAGTGAGTTATTCATTCAGAATTTCAAAAAAATAACTAGATCCTAAAAGAATCAAATAAGTTAATTGATAAATAACACTTGGAACACACAGTAAATGCCCAATAAATGCTAAATTTTTTTTAGTAGTAATATTAGTATTAGTTTAATACAGGTCATTTACTTAATGTAATAGGAAAAGTCTCATTAACTTAAAGTCAACTAATGTAACCTTAATTCTCATTTATAATTTAACAGGTTGAGGATATAGTCAAAGTAAAGAATATTGTAAGTGGAAATACCATTTAGAAAGTTATTGCAGAAGTCTAAATGACCAAAAAATGAACTATGAAAGAGGAGGTCACATGGAGAAATGGAAAAGAAGCAATATTTGCGGGAAAAACTGGTGAGACGTGGTAGTTAGGGTAAAGAAGGAGGAGGGAGCAGAAAAAAATCAGAAGTTCTGGCTTCCTCCTTATAGAATATGGACTGTATTAAAGGAGTGACAAGAGGTTACAGGTCTTGAGGTGAAAATGAGGAGTTCAATTTAGCATACATTCGATTGGTTTTTAACACATGGAATTGGAAGGCCTGTGGGTCATCCAAAATGAAATGTCCAACACAACAATTAGATACTCAACTCAGAATTTCAAAGGAGACAACATTGTTTGGATTGATTTTTTATATCATTACAAACAGTATACATGTGGTATTTGTGGTTCAAAATTTTCATTTAATCCATGCTGTGTCACTATTTAACTTTTACCAATCCATATATTATTCCAATGTCTCACTGGTAAACATTCTATCATGTAGACATGCTCTAAACTACTTCCCAACTATTGTTGCACATTTGAATTCTATTGTAAAAACAGAATTTCTATGCCAAGAAGGCCTCTTGAGAGTGTCCAGTTCCACATTTTTAAGAAATGAGAAAATTAATTCCAGTTATGGGTAAGGTATCCAAAGTGACTGAGATCCATAAAGGTAAGTTTAATGACTTAACCGAGGGTTTTTCCCACTATCTCAAACTGTTAATATTCAATATAAATGTCTTGTGTCCTCAGACTGAGCCATTTTCACAAGCAAGAAATGAGTCATAAGAATATACTGTGAATTATGAACTTGACAGCACTTAACAGCACATCAATATATATAGGAGGTGTTAAAATAAATTATGTTTTGAACAAAAATTATGAGGTTTTTTGGGGTCTAAAGTAATATGTGTAGCTTTCATATGCCAAATATCATCGAGAGAAAGAAGTATGCTGATGTGAGTAATATTTGCCAATACAAAATACTTTGAGGGCACCCTAAACCAAAGGATAGGTTCCCAATAAACACTATATCAGCCTTATAGGTTTTTATAAATTTATTAAAACTATTAAAATCTATCACATCTAGGGCTCCTGGGTGGCTCAGTTGGTTAAGCGACTGCCTTCGGCTCGGGTCATGATCCTGGAGTCCCAGGATCAAGTCCCACATCGGGCTCCTTGCTCGGCAGGGAGTCTGTTTCCCCCAGTGACCCTCCCCCCTCTCATGCTCTCTCTCTCTATCTCATTCTCTCTCAAATAAATAAATAAAATCTTTAAAAAATAATAATAATAAAATAAAAAATAATAATAAAATAAAATCTATTACATCTATTAAAAAAAACTTTAAAAATCACAACTTGTGGGAACCCTTTTTCCTTTTGCTATTATAAATACCTTACTTTGAACATCATTCATTCAAATGCATGGTTTATATATATAATGCCCAGATTTTGCTTAAATTGTTACTGTGTATTTTTATTCTTTTAGATTACTTTGTATGGTTGTATTCCCAGTACAGAATAGAAACTCACAAGGCATTATCCTCTTTGTATCACTTCTTACACAATGAGCGGAGTTACAACATTCCATCACTGCTCAGTTAGGGCATTAAAATTGGAAAATCCTCCTATAATGAATGGTCTTTTCCCTTTAATTAGGATGACTGGTGAATGAAAGGGTCTAAGTCATAAAATGTTCCATAAGTGATATTTTATATTGACACATTTCCTCCTATTCTGAAATTTGGGTTGTGTGAACACACACACACACTTAAATCTTAAATTTATTCAAAATTTTAAAAATTTATATCTTCATACTTTTTCTTCTTTTTATAAAAATATTTCTAATATAAAATTTATTTGGTGTGAGACACAAATATAAATTGATTTCCCCTTATATTGTTATAAAAATGTCTCAAGAGCAAAAAACAATTTTTTTCTTGACTGAATAACTTCTTTTGTACTATTTTGTCTCTATAGCCTGACTTTCTGCTTTCTATACAATAGAGCAGAATATTGGTAAATGCTACTTATCACTGTTTTAAAATCTGGTAAATAGAGTAATTAATACATCTTAATCTAAATGTTTTATTTATTTATTTATTTTTAGATTTTATTTATTTATTTGACAGAGAGAGAGATAGAGAGAGCAGGAACACAAGCAGGGGGAGTGGGAGAGGGAGAAGCAGGCTTCCTGCCGAACAGGGAGCCCGGTGTGGGACTCGATCCCAGTACCCTGGAATCACGACCCGAGCCGAAGGCAGACGCTTAACGACTGAGCCACCCAGGTGCCCCTAAATGTTTTACTTTTAATGTGTATATATAAAATAGTTAGTTAAATTTCAGTCTACCACAATGAAATTCTTATGTTGGAGGTTCTAAAATATTGACCACTGTGGTTATAGCATTTGTGTGTATGTGGCAGGGCAAAACAGACAAACAGAGAGAGAATAAGAGGCAGAGAGAGAATATTTGTTTGTGTATGTGTTTGTTTAATGGTAAAGATTCCTAGCATCTCTAGAACCTAAAAAATAGTAATTTAAATTTTATAATAAGTTTTTTCCAAAATGCTCAAGAATATTTTCTCATAGATCTCATAAATAGTTAAGCAGTAGAAAAGGAGCTCTATAAATTTATAAAAAGAAACACAACTGTTACAGATTCTAAATCAGGAAAAACATGAACTCATCAAATACCAAGTAAGGCTAAGATTTTGTAACTTTAAGAAATTCTATGTGATAAAGAATTTCTGACTCTCCTAGAGTAAATATTCGTTAGTTACTAGACACATTGTTATAATTTTAAGACTAATATTCTACAGAGAATACTTTTTACCATACAGTATAATAAAAATGTAAAGACTTATGCAACATTAATGAAAATATATACTTTATATAAAATAACCAAACAAATGGGTATTTGGAAGTTTGATTTCTCAGGAGAATTTTCAAGTGTAAGAATATGAAACTATTGTACTACATGATAGGAAGACAGTGACATCGTTAAGGATGTGATTTAATTAAATAAATCTATTTTTATCCAGGCCTGTATTTATAATGAGAAGACTTACCCAATAGATATAGAGACCCATAAGAGCTGGAAAAACTAAAAAGAAAAAATAAATCTGTAAAACCCTATTTTTTAAATCTGCCCATTTCTAAGGAAACCAAAAAGCAGGCAAAGCCCAAAATAGTACTCCATATGCTTGTAGCTGAACTCATTTACTTCAACTGCTGATTGTCAATAAGGCAGAAGCTCCTAAACTCATCCACAAAAAAAGCAACCCGATGTCATGTCCCCACATGCTGTGATTTTCTTGAATTCTTTCCCCACGTGGAGAACATGCCAGTCCATTATCACAGCCAGTCCCCATTCCCATACCCACAGCTGAGGTTTCCACTCAAGTCTGCCCACAAATAGACTCCCTCACTTCCAATACAAACCAATTGACTGAAGAAAAAAAAAAAAAAGGATTTTATTTTTTGTAAAACTATGACAATTTTTTTTAAGCAGTCATCATTTATAAACAACTAGCAGAGGGCTACAGATAAATAACCAGCCAGATGACAAAATGTAGAACAATGCCAAATACATTGACCAATTACAAATGTTCCAAAATATTGAGATATTTGTTCTTACAGTGTCAAATCTTACCTAGAAGTTTGATTGATTGATTTTTAATTTTACTGTAGAACTAAATACACCAGGTCAGAGTAACTCATACATGTTAAATTCCATTTATCCTTAAATCTCTGACTCCCCTTTATTTAGCTATGAATATATCTTACATGCTATAATTTTCATTTCCTAAGAAAACATGATATACATTTGTGAATCCTTCCTATTTTTGTTCACCTTTGGCATTGATAGTTTTGGTGTTTGATATCCTTTAATGTAGTTTACACTTAAAACTTAGATTTAAAAAATTAAAATAAGTTTGATTTGACTAGAAAAAACATATAAGGGAACTTGGGTAGTGAGACAAATCAGTTAGGATGAGGAGTAGAAACTGTCAAAGACATTTGTTTAGGTTGCATGAGGAGCCATACTTACCTACAACTGTGAGAAACATGTTGGCCACAACAAGGCCAAATGAATTCTGAGCCACACATTCATACCTTCCTTGGTCAGCTTGCCCTGAATCATAGATGGTTAGCATGCCTTCACCACTGACATGGAATTTACCACTTTTGGTAATCTGAACACCTGCCTAGGGAGTGAAAAGAACTGTCACTGGAAGAAAATATGATTCCTTAAAAAAATAACATCTTGGGGCACCTGGGTGGCTCAGTTGGTTAAGCGACTGCCTTCGGCTCGGGTCATGATCCTGGAGTCCCTGGATCGAGTCCCGCATCGGGATCCCTGCTCGGCGGGGAGTCTGCTTCTCCCTCTGACCCTCCCCTGTCTCATGCTCTCTCTCTATCTCATTCTCTCTCTCAAATAAATAAATAAAATCTTTAAAAAAATAAAATAAAATAAAATAAAAATAACATCTTACATTTTGTTTGATATAGTTTGATTAGTTCAACAAATATCTACTGAGCACCTACTGTGTCAAGTATTAGATGAGGTATTTTATGAATCTAATGAAGAGAAGAAATGAGAGAGAGAGAGAAAGTACTTTCTAGGAAGTGTGGTTTATCCTTCTCTCTTAATTAAAATAAATATGATACTCAAAATTCAAGTATGTAATTATTTAATATAATCATTTTAAAATCATCATTCAGTGAATGAATAAATAGTTTATTCATATTTTCTTACTTCTAGAAAAGGATTCTGACAAAAATAAAAATAAAATTTGGAAAGAAGGAAAATTTTCATAAATCTACCAACTAAAAGCATCAAAATATTTTCGTATTTCTGATTCCTCTTCTATTTCTTCTTTATATGTACTCATAAGTTTTATGTACCTGCAAAGCTTTGTATATGTTTCTCAATTAAAATTATACCTTAAGAAGATAAGATGACTACATTTCATATGAAATATTATTAAAATGTATTCAGCTATTAATTTTTTTAAAGATTTTATTTTTATTTATTTGACAGAGAGAGAGAACACAAGCAGGGGGAGTGGGAGAGGGAGAAGCAGGCTTCCCATGGAGCAGGGAGCCCGATGTGGGGCTCGATCCCAGGACCCCGGGATCCTGACCTGAGCCGAAGGCAGACACTTAACGACTGAGCCACCCAGGTGCCCCTCCGCTATTAATTTTTAAAAAGGAAAAGAAATTGGCTTTCTAGGACTGGGTTGGAGTGGAGTAGGGGCAGAGACTCTTCTCTCCTTCCCCTCCCCAAAAGACTCAGAGGAAACTGAGGATGAGAGCTGTTGTTTCAAAAGAACTCATACCCCTGTGATGACTAGTAGGCCAGAATGTAACCAGAAAGGTTCAGAGTGAAAAAATGCTTCATAGGTCTTCAGACTCTCACAGTTGTCTTTGACCACTAGAAAGTAAGTCCAAAGTGATGGGCTGCTGGTAACTCAGGGGAAGAGATAAGATGAACTAACAGGACCTATGAGGTGGAGGGCAGATGAAAAAAGACTAGACACAGAGAAGGCTGAGAAGTGACCAGGTGCACAAGCAGTGAGGCCCACGGTGTCTTTCCTTCAGGACTACCTCCCTCCACTTCCTCTTGCTGGCCCATAATTTCATCTTCTTTGCAAAAGCACTCCCTTCCTATCTGTTCTCCATACGTGTTACCAGAACTCTTAAGCTAACCCTATAGTTCTATAGTTTTTGCTTAGAGTCTCTGAGTTATCAGCTAGCTTTCCAATAAATTTTTATCTGCTTATTTTGGGAGTAGCCTAATTCACATTCATTTGAACCTTGTGAATAGCAGAGGATTATTATAAAGATTAAATGTGATAGTGTACACAAAACTTCTGGCATATAGTCAGCCCTCAATCAATTCACTTGGGATTAAAAGCTAACCTTTAGGAATTAAACTGAGCTATTTTGCTGATATGATTGTATGATACAGCCTTTAGTATAACATCAAATAGGGCTCTAGAGACTGACTAAAATGTGTATTTTTCATACTTCTTACTTTTAGTAAAAAATATTTGAATTATATAATACTATACTAGAAAGAAATTATAAAAACTATTCATACTTGAGAGTACCTGAGCCTAAAGGTTCAACTTTGAGACCACTACATTTACTTTTTATAAAGAACTGCATAACTGCATCTGATGCTCAGCTCAGCACAAGAGCAGCGAACCACCAAAACTAAGGCCTTGTTGCTGTATGACAACAACAAAAATAAACCAAGTGTTTTTGGAAAATAGCTTTGCAAGTTTTCACAGTGAAAATTTTACTTTTTTGTCCAAATTTTCTATAAAAAACTGCCATTTTGATGTATGCATTTCATTTATTTTTTAAGAACATCAGAATCTGAGACCAATCATTGCATTCTGTTAAAAAACTTAAAGTGAAAGAAGCAATTATGTTGAAAGAATATAGCTCAAAGAACCAAAGGAAGTAAAATAGATAAATAAGAAGCTATTATTTCTTTAAAGTCACTTAAGTTTTGAACCTACAGAAGGGCTTTTTTCATGTCACTTTGTTTTAAAACCAAGTTTTTCATTTTTGTTTTGGCTAACGCCCTACTTTTAATCCACTTCTGAGCTATTAATTCAAAATTGTTTCTTTCTAGCCACTAAAACTCTTAAATTTACATAAAACAAAAGCAATTTTTCCTTAGAAGAATTTAGTTATACTTATGAAGCTTTCATCACCAAGCAAATGACAAAGGTTAAATTTATCAAAGCCCTGAGACAAAATCAGATGTAGTCACTTAAAAAATGAACAAAATACTTTTAGTGTAAAAAATATTACTTGCTAACAAAAATCACAACAGTAATAAATCAATGTGAGAATCACTACCTCGTTTCATTGGGTCAATATATTTGTCAGTGTTTTTAATACTATTGTACCTTTAGTTGAGATCTTACCTTATTCCAGGTAATTATGGGCTGTGGTTCTCCTTGAGCATGACATGAAATGTTTATATTCTTGCCAACCTCTACACTTGTATCCTGAGGTAGTTGAGTAAACACTGGGAGAGCTGTGGAAACAAATCAAAATGACATCATGTTGATACCATTTTTGTCAACACGTGCTATCTAAGTCAAATGGTATAAATCTAGATATCATATTGGTTAGCCATACTAGTGTTTTAAAAAGCAATTACTTGGACATCAGAGAGAGTAATAAATATCAAAGCCAGGGTACTGATAATTAGGATAGAGATGAGAACAGAAAAAAAGGAAGAGAAATATACAAAGCCTTTAACCTTAAATATTTGTAATATTTATTTCTTGAGCTGAGTAGTGGGTACAAGGATTTTTAGTACTCTTTTTCAATGTCTTTTCATAAGCCTGAAAAAAAGATATATGGTAACATCAAAAGTTTATTGCTGGCTAAAATAAAGAGATTCTATCTTACTTTATTTCTTCAAAAAACAAACTATTGTGACTTACCTAATATGAAGTAGATCATTAGAATAACCCTATATAACTATTAAGGGAATTAAATTCATAATATTTTTTAAACCCCAAAACATAAATTTTTAGGAAAGAATTAAAATCTTTTGCTAGAGAATTTTATCCAACATACAATCTCTTCTAGAAACTAAGAGGAGGACATGTTTCCTGACTTTTTAGGAGGCTTATCTTAATATCAAAACCAGATAATGACAGTACCAAAAAAAAACCCTACAGACCAGTACCTCTCATTAATATAGACACAAAAACCATCCATAAAGTATTGGCAAATAGAACTCATCAATATAAAAATGTTTATATACCATGTCCAAAAGAGTTTATTCCAAGGATACAAGACTGGTTCAGTATTTGAAAAATCAACCAATGGAATCTATTATACAAACAAATAAAGAAGAAAAGTCCTCATAATTTCAATTAGTGCAAAAAGTGTTTGACTAAATTTAACACTTATTTCTGATTAAATTAAACTCTCAGAAAAATAGTAATAGAGAGCTTACACAACTTGAAAATGAATATAGATGGGAAGATGGTGGAGGAGTAGGGGACCCTAGTTCTGTCTGGTCCCTGGAATTCAGCTAGATAGCTATCAAATCATTCTGAATAGCTGTAAACTCAACAAGAGATCTAAGAAAAGAATAGCTGCAATTCTACAAATAGAAAAGTCACCACTTTTTGTGAGGTAGGAGATGCAGAGACATGAATCTGAGGTGATATATTAGAAGATAAACCCTGGGGACAGGGAGCCTGGTACCAAAAGTAATATAAGCAGTGAAGCACAAAATTGGAACTTTTAGAAGTCTGCTCTGGTGGGAGACGTCTCTGCCTGAAATGCACTCAGGTGGTAAAGTGGGACGGAATCACAGGTGGGACAGTGTGGTCTCAGGAATCCCAGAGTCACAGAAAGGAGGGAGGTGCCTGAGTGCAACAGCGGTCCCAAGCATTGGAGCAGGGAAGACAGCTGCAAACAGGGAGTTCAGGAGTGGGCTGTCTGCTTGGTGTTGCCATAAAACATGAACCGCTGCACAGTTTGGTGACTGCTTTCCATCACATGCCAAGCAAGTATAGTTTGGAGACTCAAGATGGGGTCTCATGCCTGAGATAAAACATTCCATCAAAGGCTGGTTGAACACAGAATGTGGACAGAAACTAGGGAAACAAGAGTGCTTGACTGTTTTTCTGTGAGGGCTCACTGAAGAGTGGGGGGCATGAACTTTCAGCTCTGGGGATGGAGATCAGGGTACTGCTGATTTAATTTTCATTTCAATCCCCCAAAATGATGCTGAAAGACTTCAGAGAACAAAAGCCACACAGAGCAATCCAGAGTCACTTATACTGAGCCTAGGCCCTTGGCAACGGGGATGCGATTCCACCCAGGCAAAGACACCTGAGAATCAGAGCAACAGGCCCCTCCCCCAGAAGACAAGCAGGAACATCCAGTTAATACCAAGTTTTCCGATCATACAGAACTGCAAAACTCCAGCACTAGGGGAAAATAGTATATAGAATTCATGTTTTTTTCTCATGATTTTTTAGTCTTTCAGTTTTAATTTTTTTTTTCCTTTTCAACTAATTTATTTTATCACTCTTTTTTAAGACTTTTTTAATTTTCACTTTTACATTTACATTTTTTTTTCATTTTTGGCTTCCTTTAATTGTAGTCAATTTTATTTTTGTATATATATGTTTTTCTTTCTTTACAATTTTGGGATCTAATTTCTGCCTAGCTTATTGTTCTGCTCTGTTCACCTGTTTGATTTTATTCTCTCTCTCTCTTTTTTTCTTTTTGGTATCTGATCTATTCTGATTAGTTTAGTGTGTTTAGTGTGTATTTTTTAGTGTGTATTTTTCTAGGGTCGTTGTTGCAGTTTTTGCATTTAGTCTCTCGTTCATCTATTCTTCTCTGGACAGAATGACAAGACGGGATAACTCACCCCCCAAGAGAGAATAAGAGGCAGTGCTAACTGCCAGGGACCTAATCAGTATGGATATAAGTAAGATGTCAGAATTAGAATTCAGAATAACAATTATTAAGATAATAGCTGGGCTGGAAAAAAGCATAAAAGACACTAGAGAATCCTTTTCTGGGGAAATAAAAGAACTGAAATCTAATCAGGTCAAAATCAAAAAGGCTATTAATGATACGAAATCAAAAATGAAGGCTCTAACTGCTAGGATAAATTAGGCAGAAGAGAGAGTAAGTGATATAGAAGATAAAATGATGGAGAATAAAGAAGCTGAGAAAAGGAGAGATAAAAAAAAAACTACTGGATCACAGGCATAAATTCGAGAGATAAGTGATTCCATAAAGTGAAACAATATTAGAATAATTGAGATCCCGGATTAAGAGGAAAGAGAGAGAGGAGCAGGAAGTATATTTGAGCAAATTATAATTGAGAACTTCCCTAATCTGGGAAAAGAAACAGGCATTCAAGTCCAGGAGGCACAGAGAACCCCCTTCAAAATAAAAAATAGGTCAAAACCTTGACATGTAAGAGTGAAGCTTGCAAATTTCAGAGACAAAGAGAAAATCCTGAAAGCAGCTCAGGGATAAGAGGTCCTTGACCTACAAGGTCAAAGAAACATAAGGCTGGCAGCAGACTTATCCACACAGACCTGGCAGGTCAGAGAGGACTGGCATGATATACTCAGGGTGCTAAAAGAGAAAAATATGCAGCCAAGAATACTTTATCCAGCAAGGCTGTCATTCAGCATAGAAGGAGAGGTAAAGAGCTTCCAGGACAAACAAAAACCAAAGAATTTGTGATCACTAAACCAACACTGCAAGAAATATTAAAGGGGGTCCTCTAAGTGAAGAGAGAGCCCAAAAGTAACATAGACCAGAAAAGAACAGAGACAATATACAGAAACATATACTTTATAGGTAATACAATGGCACTAAATTCATATCTTTCAATAGTTACTCTGAATATAAATGGGCTAAATGCTACAATCAAAAGACACAGAGTATCAGATTGGATAAAAAAGCAAGACCATTGGGGTGCCTGGGTGGCTCAGTTGGTTGAGCGACTGCCTTCGGCTCAGGTCATGATCCTAGAGTCCCAGGATCGAGTCCCGCATCGGGCTCCCTGCTCGGCAGGGAGCCTGCTTCTCCCTCTGACCCTCTCCCCTCTCATGTGCTCTCTCTCTCTCATTGTCTCTCTTTCAAATAAATAAATAAAATCTTAAAAAAAAAAGCAAGACCATTGATATGCTGTTTACAAGAGACTCATTTTAGACCCAAAGACACCTCCAGATTGAAAGTGAGGGGATGGAAAACATTTTATCATGCTGATGGATGTCAAAAGAAAGCTGGGGTGGCAGTCCTTATATCAGAAAAATTAGATTTTATTTTTTTAAAGATTTTATTTATTTATTTGAAAGAGAGTGAGAGAGAGAGATCACGAGCAGGGGGGAAGGGTAGAGGGAGATGCAGACTCCTTACTGAGCAAGGACCCTGATGTGGGACTCAATCCCAGGACCTTGGGAGCATGACCTGAGCTGCAGGCAGATGCTTAACCAACTGAGCCACCCAGGCACCCCCAGACAAATTAGATTTTAAACAAAAGACTGTACTAAGAGATGAAGAAGGACATTATATCATAGTCAAAATGTCTATCCAACAAGAAGATCTAGCAACTGTAAATATTTATGCCCGTAACATGTGAACAGCCAAGAATAAAAACCATTAATAATAAAATTAAAGAAACACATTGATAATAATACAGTAATAGTAGGGGACTTTAAACCCCACTTACACCAATGGACAGATCATCTAAGCAAAAGATCAACAAGGAAACAAGGGCTTTGAATGACACACTGGACCAGATGGACTTCACAGATATATTCAGAGCATTCTATCCTAAAGTAACAGAATACATATTCTTCTTGAGTGCAAATGAACATTCTTCAGACTAGATCACACACTGGGTCACAAATCAGGTCTCAACCAGTACCAAAGATTGGGATTATTTCCTGCATATTTTCAGACCACAATGCTTTGAAATTTGAAACAAATCACAAGAGGAAATTTGGAAGGAATACAAATACATGGAGGTTAAATAGCATCTTACTAAAGAATGAATGGACCAACCAGAAAATTAAAGAAGAACTAAAAAAAAATTCATGGAAAGAAATGAAAATGAAAACACAACTGTTCAAAACCTTCGGAATGCAGAAAAGGTGGTCCTAAGAGGGAAAAGTACAGCAATACAAGCCTTTCTAAATAAACAAGAAAGGTCTCAAATACACAACCTAACCTTATACCTAAAGGAGCTGGAGAAAGAACAGCAAATAAACCTAAACCTAGGAGGAGAAGAGAAATTATAAAGATTAGAGCAGAAATCAATGAAGTAGAAACCAAAAGAACAGTAGAACAGATCAACGAAACTACGAGCTGGTTCTGTGAAAGAATTAATAATATTGATAGACCTCTGGCCAGACTTAGCAAAAAGAAAAAGGGAAAGAACCCAAGTCAATACAATCATGAATGAAAGAGGAGAGATCATAACCAACAACAAAGAAATACAAACATTTATAAGAACATATTATGAACAGCTATGTT